GTTGATTTGGGTGTTCACACGTCACTGTACCCAGGAAGCAAACAATGGAAAATGAGAAATCTCCAACGAGGCGTTCTGGGGCAGCATAGACAGGTCTTTTCTGTGTTCGAGTTTTACTCGCTACAGCCAGGGTGTACTTTGAGGGTTTTTGGCTCTGCAGACCGTTTACATGCATAAACACCTTTATAGCACACAAGGGGATGGGTAATAACCGGAAAAGCATGACATGGGATCTTTAAGTACTCCTAACTTCATTTTAAAGCAGTATAGTGCGAACTATAGATCTATAGACCTTGCTGTTGAATAATTCATGACAGGTAATTGCCAGGGCTTTAGAGATATCAAGAGAAATCCAATGTGCAAATTAGATGTATTAACTTTACCAGTAATGGTGACATCATATAAATACTTGATTGAAGTTAAGGTGCCAGTTTATGTAATCGGAGGCAGTCTCTGCTTGTGTGGCTCACACATCAATGGCAAAGCACAGCGTTTGAGAGAGCGAGATCTAAACAGGATTACTTTATGCCAAAGCAGTTTGTAGAGTGAAAGGAGTGTTTCAGAACATAATCACCCGATTCATCAAAGGACAGCTTTGCTCTGCTTCTACACTGTGCATTTTACCCATCATTAGCCCCACACAGGCACAGTATCTGTGAAGAAGAGATGTTTCTCTATTTCTGACCAGAGGTCGTCTGTAAGTTACACACTGTGTGATTCCAACTTGTGATCAAATGTAAGAAATATCTACTCTTTGGCTTTCACCCCTTGCTGGCCTCCTTGTTCGGTTGTACATTATCTTTGAAGATCTATGATGCATGCAGCAACCACTGAATGTCCTGTTTATGAGACAAATATGAAAGCATTTCTTTAATGCTCAGTGTTCTTGTGCTTGTTGTTAATACTTAAGCTTAATGTCCTTCAGTGCGGCAAAATTGTTTTTAAAATACGATGAATAGCACAACAGGAGGGCTGTTTCATAAGCTCCACTTTATACTCATTTAAAAGGATTTGAAAAAGGAAGATCACTTAACGTGTTATCTCACCAACGTAGCAGCAGTAATTGCTCTGTAGTAGTGTAAGCATTATCTGCGTATTGTGAGTTCAGTCAGACAACTCACGTGTTTCTTTAACATGTTTATTAGAAGCAGCATATAGTATAATTTGGCGTCTAGGCTCGGGCCTCATCACTCCACAGATATACATAGCACGATGAGTGATGATTAAATAATTAACCGGTGGGGCAGGCAAGCAGCAGCGACGTGGAAGTAGCTGCGGCGATAGCAGCAGCAAGCAATGCATAGAGAGAGATCTGGCAGGTTATAAAGAGCGGCATATTAAGGAGATTGGTTGTAGAGTGGAAAGGGGCGTTATGTATGAATGCAGCAAGTGCTCGAGTTGACTGCCTGAACTAGCTCGCAGGCTTCGCCCCATTTATTTACAAAACAGATTAAGCCGGTTAAAGTGGAGATCTTTATGAATAAAAGTTGCTTTATGCTTTCCTTATTTATTCCACAATACATGTTATAATCTAATACAATTGTGAAAATGTTGCAAACCTTAATTTCCAAGCCGGACAAAGCACTCACATTTCAAACATCCACATTTTCATAATGGTTTGTATAAGGGTTTTGAAATTAAAGGATTTCGGCCTTCTCACACTGAAGTTCTGATATGCTGTGCAAGGTGATTATAAAAGTCAATGTAAATGTGCATTTAAAGGCCAACAAAAATTCAGAAATGTTACATTTTTCATAAAAAAAATAAAAAGTTTGACCTTCCTCCCATGCAATCGCTAGTTACTTAAAAGGATTTAAAAGATTGATCAAAATGAGAGAAAATCTAAGCATTCATGGTTTGTCGCAAAGGCCATCGACCTTTCACTAAACGTTTTAAAGCAAAATAGATTTAATACAAAAATTAAACTCACATTTTGGGGAATGCATTTATTCATGCTCAAGAGTATTTTCACCCAAGGCTAATATCAACATTAACATTAAAGTGCAGCTTAGCATCAGCACTTGAAGCAGAAACTCTTTCATCTGAGTTTTACACATTGTATAATATCTGAGACCGCACCTCTCCACTAGGGGTTCTGAGCTTTTTACATTACATTACATTTAGCTGACACTTTTATCCAAAGCGACTTACATAAGTGCATTCGACCAGGAAGATACAAACTTGAAGAAAACAGAATCATATAAGTACATCAGGTTTCATAGAGCCAAACATTTCAAGTGCTACTCAACTGGCTTTAGATAAGCCAGTCCTTTGTTAGTATATAAGTGCTTTGTTAGTAATTCTGTCGCTCGAAGTGGAGTCGAAAGAGATGAGTTTTCAGTCTCCCCCGGAAGATGTGTAAGCTTTCTGCTGTCCTGATTTCAATGGGGAGCTCATTCCACCATTTTGGAGCCAGGATAGCAAACCCACAAGTTTTGCTGATGGGAACTTGGGTCCCCTTCGCAGTGCGGGTGCAGCGAGCTGTTTGGCTGAG